TATATACACATTAAAATAGTTAGCAAAATATTAAAATGATACAATGTGTACAGTTTTCTTCCAAATAATCCAGGTGGTAAATAGGTGGTAAGCAGTATGTTTATACATAAAAGAAGGCTGTTTATGATTTGATAATTGTTGAAGCTAGGTGACTGGTACATCTGGTCCCTATTATTCTACTTGTGTACAACGTTTAAAATTTTTCCAAGATAAAAAAGATTAAAGAAAGAATAAGATACAACAAATGCACATGATTCTGCTGTTCAATGAAAGAAGTAGAATATTACTATTGAAGCTTCCCCATCACCTTCCCTTCCCACTATTCTGAATTTTGTGTTTATCATGCTGTTGATTTCTATAGAGCTCTTATACATATAGTTCAAAATATTTTCATGAATTCTCAAAGCATTCTTGTAAATAGATCAGGCACAGATACTATATAGCACTGTGGTAGGATTTCAGATTGAGACATTTATATGAAGTTTCCCCATCCTATTCCATCCCACAGTTACTAGCATCAACAGCAAGACATCTTTTTTTTTTTTGGTAATGGGGATCGAACTCGGGTCCTTGCACTTTCGAGGCAGGCGGCAGAACCACTGAGCTAAATCCCCAGCCCAAGACATCTTGAAATTAAGAAAATAACTTCAATTTTATGTCTTTCAGACATTTACACTATAGTGTATGCAATTGTGTAAAAACATGATTTTTAACAAACTTTAAAAGAAATTCAGGGCAGGGATTTAGCTCAGTGACTCTGCTGCCTGCCTCTCAAGCAGAAGGACCCAAGTTGGATCCCTGGTACCAACAAAGTAAATAAATTAAATTAAAAGGAATTCTTTAACATATTGAGGAATATTTGTCAAAGTGTTGTCAATATATACAAAATATATCACTGTTGTTGGTAACATTAAAATTCTTTGTTTTCTAGGAAACTCTTGAGGAAAAGTTCTCAGATGCTGATCCTGAGGCTTTGAATTTCATGAAGGTATTTAAGGATTTATTATAACTATTATCACATGGAAATTGTAATAATTGAAACTGTTGATTCTGGGAGGGGTAGACAGTGGGGCAAATAATGCCAAAATGGTCTCTAAAAATGATAAGGAACTGGGCCGGGGATTTAGCTCGGTGGTTCCACCACCTGCCTCGCAAGCACAAGGTCCCAAGTTTGATCCCCAGTACCAAAAATAAAAAAAAGATAAGGAACTATAAAATAATTACAGCTGAAGTAATATCAGTGGTTTAAGCAGTAACTGTTCTAATATATCCACCAGAATTAGTAGAAGAAAAGGCAAAGTCAGAGGTATGCAGACACCAAACATATTCTATATACTAGGCTCAAAGATAGAGTCAAACAGAGGACATACAGTGGACCCTCCAGTTATGACTAGCCTGACAAACAACTTGGGTTACAACCAGAATTTTAGTTTTAATTGATGAACAAAGTCTTGAGTTATGACCCAAATGCTGTCCCCTTGTGTTTCCAAATGGTCTCAGATACAAATTTAACCCTTATAATGTTCCAGAAAGAACATTAAAATATCCTTTCCTGTGTGGGGTTAATTGAGATATCCCAAACCAATGTCTCTCTAAGGACATTGAAATCTGCCTCTATACAGAAGAGAGACTTTGAAGGCTATGTAGAGGAGCCTGAGCCTTCATTTGGCCAACTTGAGTTACAACCAGCCCTCGGGAACAAATTGAGTTCGTAAGTCAAAGGTCCACTGTATTTTAATAAAAGCAGAAGAAACCAGTTCATGTTTGACAAACAGGCCACACAAGAAGTTGTGACCCTTCTACCCATTGTGGATACTGAAATCCCTCTATGAAATAGGTTTGAGGACCCCAGCTAAGATATCAATCAGAAATTTCTATATATAGCTGTGATTTCCACATGTGCCTACTCATCAGAAAGACCTGGGAGCTTTTGAAACATACAGATTCCAGTCCCTAGCCTTAGATTCGCAGAAGAATCTCCATGAGTAGGACCTGAGTGTTGGTATGTAAGCATCCCCTTAGATGATTATGAACTCAGTTTGAAACTCATCTTTTTATTATTATTATTTTTTTGGTACCGGGGATCGAACTTGGGACCTTGCGCTTGGGAGGCAGGAGGCAGAACCACTGAGCTAAATCCTCAGCCCTGAAACTCATCTTTTGTAGGCAGTTGGGCTGTTTGGATGACCCAGAGGTCAACTTTGTAGACCAGTGTTTGTCCTAGGTGCGAGTCACTGCCATGGTGCTATGCAGGGTGCTAGATTGCTTCAGTCTGAGTCCTACTGAGTTTCAGAGCCCGATACCTGTGTGCTCTCAGACTGCTATCACCACTGTTCTCACCACTGCCCCACCTGACCTCCGCTACCATGCACCCTGCCTTAATGCTTTTACTTGGCTTCACTCAGCATGCCACAGAGCCCACCTTCCTGCCCTGGTTCTTGACACATTGTTCTGATCCACCAGCAATTTAGTGCACTCTCCAAACAGAGGGGAGGGGTCAAGCACTGCAAGCTCTAACCGGTTCTCAGGTGGAAGCCAGAGGTACCTGAAAACTCCTGAAGCACAAAACAACTGCGGCCCAAAAAACTCCAAGGTACAGGACAGGTGCTCTACCTTCCTCTCCAAAGGTGAAACACCCTGATTGTCCAAGATTCCAGATGAAACTAGATTTGTTACTCAAGTCTTTGATTAGACCCGTAAGTATTGGCCATAGGTCTAAGAATTCTCTATGTGATCAAGGACTCTGCTATTCCATGGCCATATCCTATCTCCTCGATGCCTGCCCATGTTAGATGAAAATAAAGGTTCTCTTTAATAACAATTAAAACATATGGAACACTAAGTAAATACTGGCTACCATAACAGGTAGTTTGCACATTGTACCAGGTCATAACCTATGCAGGTGAAGTGTGGGCTGATGACGGTGTTGAGGATGGTGGTGGCATGCAGCAGACAATCTATGGCAGGGGCTTCATGTTCCTAAGACCATGGGCACAGTTGTTATTATTCATTTGTCTCCATGATTGTGACCATCTTGCCACATTGCCACTTTAGTCTGATCTCTAAGAAAAAGACTGTAGATAATTAGAAACGGTATTGGAGGGCTTTCCACCAAATTTTAAAAGGATCAACTGTTTCTTTCTTTTTTTTATTTTTTCAAGAAAAGGATCCTGTTTTGGACTTTGCAGTTCCAATCTTCAGGGCCTTTTCCAGATTGGAAGCACATCTATCAAAGAACACCTCTGAGAACTCATCAGCTTCTTAATTACAGAAAGATATTAATCCAGGCAGGCATGGACTCAGAAGCACCCACTCTACCCAATCAATATCAGTCCCAAAATTAATCAAGAAGGAACTGTTCCAGCCCAGCTCCCAAAGAGCAGCTCAGCATTGACAGCCTCTTATCTAAAAATGCTCTTTGAAATTAAAAAAAACAATTCATAGGCATTTAATAATAGACTAGATGTCAATAGATTGAAAGCCCATATAAGAATGTGAATAAATTCCAGATCTATTTGAAAGTAAAACTGATAGGATTTAGTTACGATTTCTCTGAGGGGAGATGAAGTACCACATCAGTTCTCTGGGTGTTGGCAGGTCCATGCTTTCCCTGAAGACTGTTGGCAAAAATTTTTTCTTACTTCTTCTGGCTTCTGGGAACACCAGGTGTTCCTTGGTTCATGACAGCATAACTCCACTCTGCCTCTGTCCTTGCATGGTGTTCCCTCTGTGGGTCTGTCCACATCGTCTACCTTCTTCTCATGAAACATCAGTCCTAACTGGATTAGAGGGGCTACCCTGCTCCATATGACCTCCTCTCAACTAATTACATCTACAGAGATCTTATTTTCAAAGAAGATCACATTCTGAAGTACTAAGAGTTAAGAGTTCAATGTATATGTCAACCCATAACAGTGCCCTCAAGACTTAAGAGAGGGTAAATAGGTATTTACATATGCAGGTCTGGATATCAGAGGACAGGTCTAGAATAAGTTTATAGATGTGGGAAATTCTGGTAAACCTTGATGATTGAAGCCATGGGCACCAAAGAGAACAGAAGAAACAGGGCCAGCTAAGATTGAGCCCAGAGGAATTTCATGCAACCATTGTGGAGAACATAAACTAACAAAGGCTGGTTTGAAAGGAGTGGTCATGAGACAGGAGGAACAAAAGTGAGGTAACAGATAAGCTAAAGAGAGTGTTTCATGAAGGAAGACCCCATCAATAGTGCCTAATACTACTCAGACCAGAACTCAACATACCTATTGGGTTAAGAATATAGAAGTACAGTTCATAGATATTGATAACTAGAGCAACTTCAGTGGAATGGTGAAGTCAGAAGCCAGAAAATGATAGAGACCTCCACGGTGTATATTCAAAATAGTCTTTCTGAATCAGGTGTAATACACACACCTATAATCCCTGCTTTGGGGAGGCTGGGACAGGAGGATCACCATGAATTCAGGGCCAGCCTGGGATATGTACTGAATTTAAGCCCAGCCTGAACTACATAGCAAGACTTTGTCCCCAAAAAAACCAAACAATAAAAAAAAAAGTCTTTCTGTCCTGATGGTAATCCTGACAGCTTTAGTGTTTGAGAAGCCTGCCTCCCAGTAGCAGCTGGAGTTAATATATGGCATAGATCATCAATTAGGGGATGATCAGCTTGAAGCGGGCTGTAGACATGAAGGGACAGGTGAGTCTGGTTATGCTAAGCAGGACTGTTTCTGGAAGAACAAGACTAATGAGATACCGCTCCAAGGGGTAGGTGATACTGCCTGGGAACAGGCAGGCAGCATTTTCAGGGATCTGGGTGACCTGAGGTGAGCTGGCTTAGGGAGGAGCAGACACCACAGGGCAGCCCATAACCCAGAATGTTGGGCAGCCCCAGGCAGTGAGGTTGTCTGCAGACCTAAATCCCTCAGGACAAAGTCTGTGATACCAGAGAGCCACATTTCTTAGGACACAGCCAGATTTCATGGCACGTATGCCTGTGTATTGTGACGCTGCTCCAGTTCTTTACGGATTGCCATCCATCAGTGCCAGCGAGAAAAGCTTCATCCCTGGCCAGAGTATCTGGGATTCTTGGAGAAACCTTTTGTGTCACCACTGCCACCAGCCCTCTGTGTCATCCAGAGCTCTCTGACGGCCTTGAATATACAGGGTCACGATGCCACCTTCTTCTTTTGGCCTCTACTCTTCTATGCAGATACATTCCCTTTCTCTCCATATTAGGTTCTTTCTCATATCCAAGGTTCACACTTCCTCGCCATCTCCTTAAACAGGTGTCCCCAGACTTGAGCATAAGGCAATCAGAACCCCCCCAGGGCAGGTTAACCGCAGATCCCTGGGCTCAGTTCCCCATGTTCCTGATTGGGCAGGTGTCAGGTGGGACCCTGGAATTTGCATTTCAAAACCAGCACACACAAAACCTAAGTGCACTGGTGCTGCTGGTCCAGGAACAGCACGCTGAAGACTCCCACAAATGGTTTGCTCTCACCTGAGATAAAAGTCATGGTGAGATTAGAGCACCTGATACTGGGGCCCCAGGGACAGTGAGTGTCCTCACAGCCCACCCTGGGTAGAAGAGGCCAGTAACACACTCGAAGTACTTGAGAACAGACGCACTTGATTTTTTATTTTTTTTTATTTTTTTTTTCCCATTAAGTTTATTGGTACATTTTAGGTATAAAATAC